ACTTGTTCCCACTAAAAAAAATCCCCCAAACACTTTTTTGTAATTAATCATATCAATAAACAATACTGCAAAGTGCCCAATTGAAAATTCCCTACAGGAAAGAGAGGTTTCTAGAAATCAAGAAAGGGACTAATAGACATGTTACACTAGACAAGTCTTGAGATTAAGAAAACTAAAAAAAGGAATTAACACAACTAAGATAAAGAAAATTAATAGTGGCACTGAGGTCAGATCGTCTTCTTTTCTTAAAGTATTTCAAGATACTTTGCTTTTTACCTTAAAATGATACTTTAAGTATAAATCAGCTATCCTAGTACCATGCCATTGACAAGAAAGACGTTAGAAGAACCTTTCGAGCTAATGTTATAGGTGATATTGCTCAGTTTTAGCGAAGTATTAGGACATTGTCCTATTGTCAATTTGGAGCACAAGAGCAAAGGTAGACTGGAAATTCTTGAATAGAATATAAATAAATAGAAGAATAAATTATAAAAGAGAAAAGAAGGAAATACACAAACTACGAGGCTATAATACAACTTTGATTAACAAAAACCAATCCACCATACTTGAGTAAAGTGACCTGATTCTCCACATATTTTGCGGATCATCTCTTCTTCCTTCCTTTTCTTCCAGTTCCTTTCAGCGGCCTTAGATTTAACATCCCACACCTTAGCTTCTCGGCTAGAGAAATCAGTTGGGACAGTATTTGGATCACGAGGCTCCTCTTCCTCATCAGGACTTGCATGAGACTTTTTGTTTCCTTTTGTCTTCTCTTTCTTACTGGTGGCATTTGACCCAGATGGACTAGTGTACTCTTTATAAATGTCATTGAAGTCATCATCCATATCTGGTGTGGGAATTCTCTTGTCATTTCCGAAAAATCTCGCAAGCAACTCACACCTGCATCACCTTCAAATAATAAACTATCAAGAAAACTCAGGTATGGTCTTCATATGTCGAACATCAATCTGGTAAGAACTTCCTTAGTGAAGAAATTACAAGATAAACTATCAAGAAAATGGAACAGGGTAACTCCTCCCAGAGAGTGGGGAAGAAGAATGGCTGGAGATGGAATTTAAGTTTTAACTGGAATATAGATTTGTAACGCGGAGCACAACTTGCAAGAGAAGGCTGCAATTCAACTAAGCAACTTACCAGAATATGTATTCCAAATCAACAAGGCTAGATAACTTTTCAGAACTGCACATTCAAATCTTGGGACACATGCATGACCAATACGGAGTTGAAAGATGCTATTCTTCGGGATAACACCAAACGCAATCCCTGTACCTGTTGATGAATTAAAGAAAAACACCGATGAACCGGATGAAACTTGAGTGCGAAGGCACTGGCAAAGCATTTGAATGAATGGTTAATGTAATTTCTATCTGAATTTAACGGAATGTGATATATTATTTATCAAAAAAAATGAATGGTTAATCTACAAAAGGACAGGTTCCTGGTTCCAGTCACAGTAAGAATTCCAACGACCAAATGTTGATAACACAATTTAGAAACATACAGGCATACAAAGGGAACATCTGCATAGAAATGCATAAGCACAAGACCAGTAGCAAAGAAACAACAATGAATTTAGAACAAGTTATTGAAACAAATTCTTTGCAGCGAAGAATCAATCATAACCGGAAGAAAAACTGATATTCTTACAGTACTGGGACAATCACTTTTCAAGAACACAGATTAAAATACTGTGGAAAAATAAAGGACAATTTCATATAAAACAATAAAAATACAGTGAGAAGACGTACGTACGAATCCTCCAAAATTAGGGGTGAGTAAAAAAAATCGAAAAATCGAATTGATCGAAATCGAACCGATCGATTGGGTTTTGGTTGGATGTTTTCAAAAAACCAAAGTATTAGTTCGATTTTGATTAACTAATACAAAAATCTGGTGATTAATCGAACCGATCGGTATACATATATTTTTATATATTTTATATATATTTATGTATATTATATATTATAAATTAATAAATATATATAATATATGATATATTATTTATTATTTAAAATATAATATTTTATATATATTTATAATTTTTTTATATATTTATATTTTTTATAATATATATTGTAAAAATAAAAAAACTGAAAAATCAACAAATTGAACCGACAGTCAACCGATTAACTGATAGATTTTGATTTTGATTACCAGTTTTCCAAAAATCAGTACTACCGATTCGGTTACAAAATAAACCCCACGGTTCGGTTCCGTGAGCACCCCTATCCAAAATGTCTAAAAAATAGAAAATTAAAAGAAAATATATAAACAAAGCGAACTGAATTAACATTTTGGTTCTGCTGCGGTTGCCCTTATTAGTTCTGTTTCTTTCGCCCCTTTTTATTAAAAAAGTTATCTAGTGCAATTACTTTTCTATTTTGATTTTTTTTTATTCTCCTTTTCTCGAAAAAGTTGATTCAAATTGCCAAGCACTAATTTTTAGCCAAACAGCATATTAAAAAGGAAGAAAAAGAAATTCAGCCAAACAGGCATCAACTCATCAACTTGGGATTTATGCCAAACACATGGGTGGTGTTTGGAACGAACGTTGTTTCCGGAGAGGCATTTTTTTTCATAAAATGGTGATGCATTGGCATACCGTTTTATTAGAATTTATTTTTTCTTTTCTGTTGGATACTATTGTTGTTGCTGCGATATATGCATTTTTTAAAGTAATGTCAACAAAACAGTAAAAAACGAAAAAAAAAAACAAAATGGGTGTTTTCTCAAACTACACTTTTCCAGATTTCAAAAGTGTGATTTGAAAAAATGTTTTTTTTTTTAGAAATTCCCGATCAGTACCTTTTATTTTGGCTCGAGTGACAATTTGATCCCCAAACTTTAAAATGCAATAATTTAGTATTCGAACTTTTGAAATGTGACAATCTAGTACCCAAACTTTCAAAATGTGACAATTCAGTACCTGTTGTTAACCAGTCCATTAATCAGCCGTTAAGTGACATTTGAAAAGTCAAAAATGCCTTAAGAATGTCATTTAATTCTCTTTATCAATCATCCAAACATTGGTAATAAAATGAACAGTACCAAATTCTATACTCTTTTAAACAGTCACCAACTTTTTTGAATAGAAGAGAATAGGATTTGGGATTGTTTAGTTTTTTGTCAATGCTTGGATGGTTGATAAAGAGAATTAGATGGCATTCAAAAGATATTTTTAACTTTTCAAATGTCACTTAACGGTTGATTAACGGACTAGTTAACGGTAGGTACTAGATTGTCACATTTTAAAAGTTTGGGTATTAATTGGATTGTTGCATTTGAAAGTTTTGAGACCAAACTGTCACTTGAACCAAAGTACATGGTACTGATCGGGAATTTTCCCTTTTTTTTTGAAAAAAAAAACACATAATCAAACATCAGGCATTTCAGAGAAAAAATGGATTTCAAACGAGGTGCTAATGTGGGTGCCATTTTTTCGAAGAAACGACATTGGTTCCATACACCAACAAAGAGGATGTTTGGTTTCGAAACCATTTTTCAAACACACACACACAAGCAATGCCATGTCAAATACAACTAGGTGTTTCCAGTTTTTACTACAAAATTGAATGTTTGGTTTAGGTGTTTTTTTGAAAATGGGCTAAGAAACATAATGGCTTCCTAAAAGTTGTGATTGGTACTATTGCCATTTTTACTTGCAACATTTTGTGTTGGTCAATACAAAATTTTTGAGAAATTCTGTTACATCACATAAGATAACCACTTTTAGGCATTGGATTTAGTATTGTCATTTGTAGTAGAATCACTAAATTTTAGGTTTCATTGAGAAGCAACAATGGTACTCAATGTTGTATTAATAACTCAAAGCATTTGTGGTAGAAAAAAAAATATTTTCATAAAATTTGTATTGACAAATCTAAAATGTTGCAAATAGAAGTGGCTAGGGGTGACCAAGAAAATCGTAAAATCGACCGAAACTGAACTTATAAAAATATCAGTCAATTCGATATTTTAAAAGTACGATGATACCGATTCGGTTTCAGTTAACCAATATAAGAAACCAAAGGTTAACTGAATCGAACAATATACATATATTTCTATATGTTTTATGTATATTATACATTATATATTTTCTATATATTATAAATTAATAAATTTGTATTATACATAAAATATATTTATAATATATTATTTATTATCTAAAATATAATATTTTTATAGTATACATTATAAATATAAAAAAACCATAAAACTGCCAAACCGAAATAGCAATGATATCAAACACAACCTAAATTGGCCTACCATGCTCCCAATGGCTCAACTACGTGGAGTCAAAGTGTATCCTATGTGGTTGTTGATGTGTAATGAATCTAAATGTCCCGGTGCTTCTTGGTGCACCGATTCATTCTGTGCAAACATTATTGTTTTAATGGTGATTGGTGAATTAGACATACCGTGCTTTCTTCTTCGCTGCCAAGACCCCTCACTACTGCAATTCATCGTCATTCGGTTGTTGCCGGTAAGTGTGCATATGGTTTTTTAAGGTTTTATCATTTTCGCTTTGTTCATGAAAACTCATTTTCTCCTCATTCAAGGTTTCTAGATCTAGAACAAGCTCGCTGTAAAAGTGAACCAGAGTACAAATTTTTCCTGAACCAGGACTTACACACTATTTGCATCATTTCTAAACGCAACCTTAGTTTTTTTTTCTGCAATGCCTTAATAATAACCTGATGTAAAGATGGGTACAAACAGCCCTCAAATTAAAAGCAGCCTCTTACAACTTTGTATTAAGAATCTCTCTCCATGAAATAAAACACGTAATTAGGGAGATATTCTCAATGCAAGGCTGTTAGCTAACATTGATAGGGAAGCCAAGTCAACGCGTGAGAGATACTCAAAAATGTTAAATCAATAATTTAAGTATCGACAAAAAATGAGTTGTCGAACTCACTATTCAATACTCTCTCCATCACTTCACCTTAAAAATCGACTTCAGTGGCACAGCATTTTATACCTTGTGTGCTTCAGAAATGGAGTTAGTTTTAGGGCATGAACACAGGCCATATCTGGAGTAGATCCAGAAATGGGTTTAAATGCAGCTTCAAAACCTTGTTGGATATGCCATGAGATACAATGTTTAAGCACTCGGTTTGGATTATGGATCGAATTGTGAAGTTAATATACACATTACATAGATGACAGGATCCATGTCAAAGTCCAGATTGTACTCAGTTTTTATATATAACAGTGGTCTTTCTTATTGTTTGTATTATATGATCTTCGTCGGGATCTCTTTATTTGTTTTTTATGAGCATATTTTAGGGAAAATTATGGATACCCATGTGGATAAATAGTTGGAACATCTTTTAATTCAGTTGATACCTCAGAGCTGAGTGGAACCTGGACCAGAATGTTTTGTCATTATAGAATTTTTATCCACCCATCTTGAATTATTTTTTCGTTATTTCCCTGAAAGTTGAATTCCTCATCTTCTCAAGAAAATGGTACTCTGTTATTTTTTCGCTTCATTGCTGCCTGGGATTTCAACTGGCTTCTTTGCTGTCTGCTGCTGTATTTTTTCTGCCCTGTTTTACAGCGACAGTGTTGAAATACAGAAATAGTCTAGTTAGACATCAGTCACATTTACATGGTTAAGAAAAGAAATTTGGAGCCTTTACTTGTTTATTTCTCTGCACAATCTTGACACCCTACACCCTTTTCTTTGAAATCCATATAACTGTCTGATACTCTCAGGATTTCTTAATTTCCTCTCAGTTGGGTGGTTTCCACCTTCTGTTTTTCTTCAGGTTGGAATGTTTAAAAATTAAAATCATTTCCCCAAACGTCCAAGGAATCGTTGTAGAGAAGCTTCAAAGCTTTTTTGTTTTGTTTTTTTATGATGGGCATCTTATCAAATAATCGTTTCATCGTTGAGATTTTAACTACAATCATCAGGGCGATATTCTTCTTCTGGGGCTCCTGCTCAGCATCTGATGTTCCTGCGTCATTCATTTTTGGGGATTCCTTGGTCGATGCTGGAAACAACAACTACATCTTTTCTCTGTCAAGAGCGAATTACTATCCCAATGGGATAGATTTTGGGCAGCCTACAGGTCGTTACACCAATGGAAGGACGATGGCTGATATTATAGGCAAGTATTGCTGTTAGCTCTATGGAGTGGATTCATTCTTATTTGTTATTTCCTCTGCTGTTTGTTGAGAAAATTGGCATCTGTTGACAACTTTTGATTGAGCAGGGCAGGAACTAGGTATGAAGACTTTTGCTCCTCCTTACTTGGCTCCAACCACAGCCGGTCCCGTGGTTCTGAAGGGAGTCAATTATGCGTCTGGTGGAGGTGGAATTCTTGGCAACACCGGACAGATCTTCGTAAGCCTATCTTCACTCAAGTCGGATTAATCTTGGTTTCTCGTTATACCCAGTTTCAGTTAGTCGATTACTTAACGAGAAAGCCGAGTTCTCTTTCTGAATTCCTATCTATGCTCGTATCTGAGATGGTGGCGTTGTTTAGGTTGGGCGAATCGACATGGACGCCCAGCTCGACAATTTCGAGAACACAAGGCAAGAGATAATCTCAGACATCGGCGTTGCTGCGGCTATGAAACTGTTGAGCGAGTCTCTGTTCTCGGTTGCGATGGGATCAAATGATTTCATCAACAATTATCTTCTCCCCGTATTATCAATTCCCGAACGCGCGCTGGTATCTCCTCAAAACTTTGTGGACTCCATGATCTCAAAATACAGGCTTCAGCTAACAGTACGGATTCTTTACTATTCACTAGTCATCAATCGATCGATTTAATTTTTTTTTTTTTGAACATTTTGTTTCTTCTGGTGCAGAGAATGTATCGTTTGGGTGCCAGAAAGATTGTGGTGATCAACGTGGGTCCGATTGGGTGCATCCCTAATCAGAGGGAGTTTCATCTATCGGCCGGAGACGACTGCTCCGCCTTCCCGAATCAGCTAGCTAAGCTATTCAACGACAGGCTGAGGCACCTGGTCAAGGAGATAAGCTCAAATCTCAACGGCTCCATATTTGTATACGCAGATGTTTATCGGATTGTAGGAGATATAGTTGAAAACTACACATCGTATGGTGCGTCTGTGTTGTTGCTAAGTTCGGTATCATGAGTTGGTTTAAACTCTAAACGCAGCTTGTGTTTGTGTGTCGTCGTAATTTCATCAGGTTTCGAGAACGCTGATTCGGCGTGCTGTAATTTCGCCGGTCGGTTTGGGGGTTTAGTGCCGTGTGGACCCTTATCTCGAGTCTGTCCAGATCGATCCAAGTATATATTCTGGGACTTGTTCCACCCGTCGGATGCTGCCAACGTTCTCATAGCGCAGCGGCTGATGGACGGTGATTGCAGCGACATCTTCCCCATTAATATTCGACAACTCGCCCGAGCTAGATTGCCTTGATTTTATGCCTTTCTCACGGGTTGTCTGAATTCTTATTTTATTTCTTAACGAGGAAAACGTTTTTCTTTCTTTTCCGATTTATTTCTTTCCCTGCAAAAAACATGAAATTACATGTTCAGTGTTAAATGGGTGACAATTAATAGAGAAAATTTAGTATCCAATTAAGTCGAGTGCCGATTTATTATCCAAACTTTAAAATACGACAATCTAGTATTCTTTTTATTCTACGACAATATAGTATCCCGCGTTAACCAGCCGTTAAGCAGCATACAAAAAGACAAAAATGCCCTTCAAAAAGCTATACTCTCCAATCCTATGAGCCATCCTCGCATTAATGATTTTTTTGCTTAGATTCGGAATCTGGCACAAAATGGAAGTGGGATTGAAACCATCCATCCTAATTTTGTTGTGGAATCATGATTTTGCACGAGGGAGGCCCCTTCTTTCAAGAGCTTCAGTAAAGGGGGAACCCCACCTTCTTCGACAAAAATTTTCTTGTTGCAGTCATTGTCACGGGTGAGTGAGGCTATTTCATTGGCACTCTCCACTTGTTTGGGAAGAGGATCCATTTGAATAGTGGCGACGAAGGACCAGACGTAGAGAGGATAGGGTCATTGCTAGCGATGGGGGGGGAGGGTACCGCCATCGGAGCCGTAGGAGTCCAAGATGTTGAAGAGCCACTTCATGTCGCTGATGGAGGCGTGAGGAGGTTGAAGAGTTTGTGGAAATCGGTGGTGCTAGTGATGGTGACGACTCTGTAGAGGACGCCGTTGCGCTTGCACTTATGGACGAGAGCCAAGGCACGTTCAAGATTCTTGGAGACTTTGGCGATGATACGACGGACAGGGCGTTCGTAGAAGGAAGGGTTGGAGTTGCTTATCTACTTCAGAGTAGTCGAGCTTGAAGAGCATATCAAGTTCACTTTTCTTGGCTCTGCACCTTCTCATAATCAACGAATGAAACCGCACTGTGTTGGAATGATTTCATCCTTACTTGGAAAAGGTACAAATATAGTGTAGAACCCTCAACAATGTCAGATGCAACTGAGATATTCTGCCTACACATTATTGAACCTATACAGCCACAACTACAACATTATCAATCCAAGATTTGAGAATATGGGTTCATCCAGTAAGCATAACCAAGCCCCAAATTTCAATTACACCAATAACAACCATGTTGGATTTCCGATGATGGATGCCGAAGAGTTGCAAGTTGGATTGGGTCAGATGATTCGTTTCAGTGGTAGACCATCAAATGGTATCAGTGGTAGCTACACCTCGATGGATAAGGCGCGTAAGGGCAAGGAAACACTAACAGTGACGAGGAAATGTTTTGCATTTCTGGAGTTGATGAGCTCATTCCTTCTTGGTTTTGCTCCTCAATCATTGGCTTCTTCCCGTAGAAGGTTTCAAGGTGCAAACCATTTCCCGATCACGTTCCCCGATGTGATTCAACAACCACCGCCATTCGCCAATAATGTGGTTCAACAACAACCTCCATTGCCGTCTGCACTGCCTCAACAACAAGAAGAAAATGGAAGTGGGATTGAAAGTGAACTTGATATCCTCCTTGAGCTTTCTGTACTCTTTCAGCGAGTAGGATTGGAGAGCATAGCTCATCTTCAATGCTTTTCTCTTCTGCCATCGTTTATGAATGGGTAGATTCCTTTCCTCTTTTCCTTCTCCTTTTCTTTTTTTTTTGATCAATACATCTACCCTTACTTACATTTGTATGTCCTCCGCTTCTTAGCAGAAGCAGTAAATGCGTTTGATTCAACCAGGAAACCTGAGCAAAATTGATCTGACCATCGTCTCTATTTCTTCTTCTTCCTACACCCCCAAGCAAAGTATTAAAGTAGCGTCTTTTCTTTTCTTTTTTTAATATATAGATTTTTTTTCCGAGGGAGAAGTAGTGGTCCTACTCTCCAACATTCCACTCTTTGGGTACCCAGAACTTGATCTTCATTTTCTTGAGATAGAAGAAGATGAATAGTGTGTTTGGGCTTTGCTTCTTTTTCTTGAGAAAGAAGATGATAAATAGTATTCAAGGGTAATTTTGACATTTTTAAAAGTCTTAAATCGCACATGAGGTCATGTGATATTCATAACTGACGGTCTATTAACGGTAGGTACTCGATTGTCCTAAAATGAAAGTTTGGGTACTAGATTGTCGCATTTTAAAGTTTGGGTACTAAATTGGCACTTAGCCTAAAGTACAGGATACCTATCGGGAATTTACGAAAAAGTACAGACAGATCCAATGCAGATTTCTGATTTTCAATACAGAGCTATAAATATTCAAAATGTCAACAACCCACACTCTATGCATCAACGACCGCCTGTAAATTGACATCAATTCCGAGCTGATACCTACCCTAACAGTACTTTGGGCCTACAAATTCTGACCCTAGGTACTTTACACTTAAAAGTCAAATTTTCATTTGAGCTGGTACCCTTTAGGCTGGGTTTGGTTGCAATGCAAATAAATCCGCAATGATGAAAAACTATGATGGTGCAAATGATTTGAGTGTAGATTCCGACCTATTTTTATTCATAAAAGAAATCCTAATCTATTTTTGTTCCAAATTTTAACTTATTTTGTTTGATTGCATTACAAACGAAGTAAATTAAAACATGAAGTAGAATAAAACAAAACCCAAAATAAAATTAAATAAGAATTTGCATTTTTTTCATTTGCACTCCCATGCAAACATTTGTATTAGTGCAAATAAAATTGCACTGCAACCAAACACATAATTTCATTTCAGATTCTAACGCACCATTTTGTCCTTTCATATTTTGTTAGTTAGAACTTAGAACCAATAATAGTAGACATTTAATTCTCCTTTGTTTAGTATCATAGTAGTTGAAAAACTCTTCTTCGCCTCACTCTTAACTAAATGAAAAGAAAAAAAAAAGGAAAATGGAAAAGTTCAAAACTTGGGTTTTAGTCTTTTCGAAGATACAATAAAAGAATAAAAGAGAGGGCAAAAAGGTCTTGTAAAATTTCAAAATTAACAAAATGCTATTAAGGAACCAAGTTTTGAAATCTGAAAGTACGGGATAACTGTCTCAAATGAAAATTTAAAGTGTTTGGTTTAAATATGAATTGGAATAGGAATTAGAATTAGTTGGAATGGAATTTTATTCTCAATAGGAAGGAAAGCCCTTGAATGGAAGAATACCATTCCACCAGAAATGGGAATGGGATTCCAATTCATCCAACCAAACATTTGGAATTGAAATGATCCATTCTGATATTATTTGAATTGGATTGGGGGCATCCAATCAAACTTGTTCATGGATTAGACTTTGACTTAACTTTTGTTAGAATTTGTATGAACCAGCCCAAAGCCCAAGCTTGAAACAATATAAAATGTTCATAGACCAAATCTGAAGCTCGGCCCATGAACAGGTCTATTCTAAATAACAAAATTATATGGGCCAAAAGCCCAAAATTTCTAGCTATTCTCACTTGCTCAACTTATATTTTGGTCCTTGTATATGTATTGTAGGTCAGGGCTTTGAGCCTGACAGGCTTTATTGTAGCCCCACATCAAGAATATCTCTTGTACTTGTATGTTTTTATTTATATCAAACATTTGCAATACATGATTGCAATATACAGTAAGGTTTATTATCATACATGACTGCAACATACTGTTAGGTTTATTGTCATTTATGGGAGATATTTCCATTGCACAGCTGCAATGTACTGTGAGGTTGATGCTGACAACAAAATACATTTAACACCCTACCAACAGATTTGTCACTGCACACAGGTCCCTCTTTTAGGGTGGGTCCCAATCTTATGACAAGATGCGCATGATGTTGGTTGGTGTCGGAATATGTTTTGTTGGCAAAAATTGGCTGATTATGCAATCTCCCAGTGAAACAATTTCACATCCGTGCGGCACACACACATTTCAGTTTGTATTGGGAACATCTCCCGTACTTGTCATCGGGAGATGTTCCCAGTACATGGTTCAGATGTATTGTGGGGCATACTCTGTGAGGTACATATATGAATTCCAATAAAACAAGTCCAACATTTGAGTGATGACTCAATTGATACTTAGTTTATTAGTCTCAATGGAAACGAGCAATAATTAAATACATGAGACCCATACTTTTTACAAGGGATCATGAATTTATTATTGGTGTGAAACAACCATTTAATCCAAATTCAACGAAAATGTGAATTCGAGTCTCGCTACTCGTTGCTAGTAATCTCGAAAATAGGGCTGATAATGGTATTTGAAAATTCGATTTTAAATTTGAGATTCGACATAGTCGAATCAAATTCAGATAATTTGAATATCTAATCAGTTGAATTCAAATATGGCTTGATTCAATTCGATAAATATCCGAATTAGATTGATTATTTAATTCTTATATAATATATAAAATACTTAAATGTTTTATATAATTTATATATAATAATTAGATTATATAAATAATTTATATATTTATATACTTTATGTAAAAAAATTATTGTATATATTTATTAATTACCTAAAATCAAATATTTGAATATTAATCTTCAATATCCATCAGATATCAAATTTTCTAATTGAAATACTGTATGGTTCGATACAAATTCGGTCCATTTACAACCCTAATTGAAAGTTAAACTCAATTTACAAAGAATATAAATACAAATATATACAATGCAAGTATATAAAAAATACAAGGTTTTATAATTTACAAATTTGTACTTGTACTCTTTCTAAAATACCAAAATAAATAAATAAAATAGAGTCCGGATAAGGTCCACAATTCACTTCATTGATCGTGCGTACAATACAGTGCCTACCAGATCCAGTTCGCAATAAAACACAGACACATCTGCGATAAAAAACAACGTTGAAAGTGTGATGGCATCTGCTCCTCACAAATGGGCGCCTCACACGCACATCCTTCGTGTATCGGAAACATCTCCCGTGAATATTTATTAATAAGTACGGGAGATGTTCCCAATGAATGATAGAATGTATTGGTTGAAAGTTATTATCAGTGTGTTGGTTAAGATACCTGATGCTACACGATCTGGACACTCCTAGCTAGCTGTG